TTTTTAAGGAAAAAATAATCTAGTTAAAAATAAGTCTTTCCAAATTGCACATATATATGTTGCTTGATATGATATCATGAAAATGATGAATGATATAGATGATGATATATGAAAATATATATAGATGATGATTAATAATAATAATAATAATAATATAAATGATATGATAATGTAATGATAAATGATAATGATAAATGATAATTGATAATTATGATGATGATGATGATAATTATGATATAATGATTAATGATGATGAAATGATAATGATACCGATGATATTGATAGCGGAGGAAATAGAGAATAGCCAGTGATACGAGTGATGATAACGAGGAATCATCGCCTATAGGACACCTTCAACACATAAACATAATCACTACACAAGCGTCGCCCACAGAGACACGCTTTCGACTGTCAACCTCACAAACAGATGGCAAACGCAAGCAAAAAGAGAGATAAAAAGAAAAAAAATCTCATTAATAACTTGGGCAATTTAACAGCCGCTTTTGATTTCTCTTTATAATTTCTTTGAAGTGATTCAGGTGGTGTTTATTCAGTTGGTCTTGTTTATAGCTTCTGTTGATCGTTTTTTTTTCATAGTTTTAAAAATCATGAACTCAACGGCAATCAAAGTAACAATTACCCTAATGACATTATTACCAAACCCCATAATTATAATAACGGTGATAATAACAATATTTATAATAAAAATAAGTAAAAATCACAAATTACTACAGTTACTGCTGCATTTACAAGTACTATTGTTATAACAATTAAAAAAAAAAAAAAAAAAACACAGTAATAAGAAATATCCTTGAGAACAATATCATAATCTTTAAAAATACAATAATAAGGTCAACATTAACAAGAAAAATACTACTAATAACAATGATAATAATATAAAAAACAACAATAATAATGTGATATCAAAACAATAATAGTAATAACAATATTAATAACAACAGCACTGCAAACAGATAATAATAATAACAATGACAATAACGATAACAATAACAATGAAAAATAATAAATACAATAATTAAAATAATAACAGTAAAGACATAACAATTACAAAGACAAAAGGCGAGAACAAAGGGTATGATACGTAAGCGCAGCGCAAGGGGTGAGAGAAGAGCGAGTAAGTGTGCGTTACGGCCTGTCTGTCTGTCTCTGTCTGTCTGGTCTCTGTCTGTCTGTCTCTGTCTCTGTCTGTCTCTGTCTGTCTGTCTGTCTGTCTGTCTGTCTGTCTCTCTGTCTCTGTCTGTCTGTCTGCCTGTCTGTCTGTCTGTCTGTCTGTCTGTCTGTCTGTCTGTCTGTCTGTCTGTCTGTCTGTCTGTGCTGTCTGTCTGTCTGCTCTGCCTGCCTGCCTGCTGCTGCCTGCCTGCCTGCCTGCCTGCCTGCCTGCCTGCCTGCCTGCCTGCCTGCCTGCCTGCCTGCCTGCCTGCTGTCTGCCTGCCCCTGCCTGCCTGCCCCTGCCTGCCTGCCTGCCTGCCTGCCTGCCTGCCTGCCTGCCATGCCTGCCTGCCTGCCAGCCTGCCTGCCTGCCTGCCTGCCTGCCTGCCTGCCTGCCTGCCTGCCCCCTGCCAGCCAGCCAGCCAGCCAGCCAGCCTGCCTGTCTTTCTGTCTGTCTCTCTTTCCACGGGCCCTTCCCTTCCGCCCAAGCAAAAGGAAATCCCCACGCCACGAGAAACGGAGAGCCGATCTCGCACGTTCCTTAAGGAGACAGACAAACACTCCCAAGCTGTTGGTTTTGGCTTGGAGGCTGCCAGAGTGGGGGTGGGGCAAGGGCTAATTCGGGGGCCGTGTTTACGTTCTCGCTCCCGGAGTACAGCCAGAAGGAGAAATGGAGGGAGGGGGGAGGGAGGAGGATGGGGAGGGGGAGAGGGGAGAGGGGAGAGGAGGGGGAGGGAGAGGGAAGGAGAGAAATGAGAGGGAGAGGAGGAGTTAAAGAGAGGGAGGGGAGGGAGGAGTGGGAAAGGAGGGAGGGAGGGAGGAGAGGGGGAGTAGGAGAGAGAGAGGGAAGAGGGAAGAGAGGGAGGAAAGCAAGGAAGGTAAAGTAGGGAGAGAGAGAGAGGCAAAAAAAAAGTGAGTGGTAGTGATAGTTCATGAAAATATTTACATATTAACCTCAAGAATATGATGTTGGGTTGTTGATGTTGGCAACTGCCAGGGCATCATGATGGTGATAATGGTGATGATGATGATATTGGTAATGATAATG